GGGGGGAGGGAGGGAGGAGGGGAAGGGAGAAGAAAAAGAAAGAAGGAAACTTATTTCGCAAAGGAGGAAAACAAATGCTGTCGCTTTAAATCGGAACTGAGCAGGCCTGGCTGTGGAATTCTGGGAGTCCACAAGTCTAAAAAAAATTGTGTCAGTGCCTCACCAGCCATAAACCTCACCGCATGTCACTGGTGCGTCTTATACTCTCAAAATACAGTACTTCTCGTTTCTGTGGGGAGTATCGAAACTTGCTTTAAGCAGACAAAGGAACAAGGTAATGTTGCAAAAAGCATTGCCACTTTAGGGTCTTTATTTTCCCACAAATGTAAGCCACTCCAGTTGGGGCAGGTCATGTGAAACATTATACACCAGTGTATCAGACCACTCTTAGACCATCCTTCTCTGTTTTTGCCCGCATGCTTTGAAAGGAGAGTCCTACATTGCCACGTGTGAAACGCTGAAAATAAAAACAGTATAACAAAACCAGAAAAGCTTTTAAGTACTGCCAGACTGACATTCGCTGGGCAGGATGTTAGCAGTCTGACAGGTCACAGGGCAGTGCTGTGTTTGTGATACAATAGAGCAGTGTTTCTCAACCTTGGCAACTTGAAGATGTCCGGACTTCAACTCCCAGAATTCCCCAGCCAGCGAATGCATTTGCTGGCTGGGGAATTCTGGGAGTTGAAGTCCAGACATCTTCAAGTTGCCAAGGTTGAGAAACACTGCAATAGAGGTTGTGAGCAGGGTGATGGCGATATATCGAGAGATGCTGAGAAGGAATGGCCGTAAGAATCAGTGCTCCGTGTAGTACTTGGAGCTGGGCCATGCTAAGCTGAAAAGCGTTGCTGCTTTAAGCACATGGACAGGGGTAGTAAGTGGGAGCACCTGATGGGGAATCATTGGCAAGTGTTGTAGATTTGGATTTGCTCATTGATGTCTCTTAAGATGCTTCTCATCTTGGCTTCCAGCCCATCCAGCTGGGCTGCCTTTTCTTGTAGCAGCTTCTCATTTTCTTCATAGGTTTCTTCCAGCTCTGAGTAAGGAAGGGGAGGGGATGGTTAAAGATCGGGAAATTCAAACGGTATACAGAATAATCTTTGCTCATGGCGCATTCACAGTTCTGATTCTAATAGAAAAAGCTAGTTCTATATTAACTTTGAGAATCCAGACAAATATCCACTGCCTCTGGCCGAGATACAGATAGTCCTTGACTTACCACTACAATTGAGCCCAAAATTTCTGTTGCTAAGCAAGGCTGTTTTTAAGGGAACCGTGGTCCATTTGACCACCTTTCTGGCCATGGTTGTTAAGTGAATCACTGCAGTTGTTAAACGAATCGTGCAGCCATTAAGCGAATCCAGTATCCCTCATTTACTTTGCTTGTCACATGACCCATGGCGATCACATGACACATTGAAAATGTAAATCGGCACTGTTTATTCTGACAGGAATTCCCTCTTCTAACACACAGACACACACGTCTTAGGCACTTACTGCTCAGCCGCCGTAGTTTTTCGTGAGCATCGCGCAGAAGTCCTTTGGCCTCATCTCGCAGGTGCTCTGCTTTCTTTCGGGCCCCCACTACATGCTGGGCTTTTCGTTCCACTAACTCCTGCATGGTGCGATATCGATCCCCCAGCGGTCCCTCCAGTACCTGAGATTCAGCAGGAAACATTAGCAGAAAGCATATGAATATAATTCGACATACGAATATAATGGAGCCTAGCAATTATTGCTATAAGTCGGTTGTAAAACGGGCCACCGCGTGACTGGGGCCATTTTTATAACCTTTTTTTTTTGTGGTGGTCATTCAGTGAATGCAGAGGAGTGGTGCGGTGGCCTAGAGGCAGAGCTCTCGCCTCACAATCAGGAGGCTGTGAGTTTGATCCTGGGTAGAAGCAGATATTTCTCTCTCTGAGAATATATCTGCTGAACAAAACTCCGCATTGGTGACAGGAAGGGGCATCCGGCCAGTAAAACACACTGCCAACTCCATTTAGTTGCCCAGACTCCACTCCACAAGGGATTATGGGGTCGTTAAATGAAGATGACAATGATTCAGCGGATGCAGAGGTCATAAAGCAAATGCTCCAGTGATTCAGCAAATATTATGGTGTTTAGGTTGCTAAATGAACCCCTTGTTTGCTATAGGTTGGGTTTTGATAAAAAAAAACCTGAAGTAAACACCAGGAGATAGTGAGTGATGATCTCACCTCTTGGGCTTTGGTGTTTGCTTTTTTAAAAGGGCTTTCCAATTTGATTTGATTGATTTGATTTATTTAATTTGTATGTAATCAATCAAATCAAATCAATCAAATCAAGCTTTCCAATTTAATGATTTTATGTAAATAAGATGCTGCCCAGGAGAGGTTGATGGCTATTAGCAGGATGGAGTGTCTGGAGGTTTCCAGAGCAGCATTTCTCAACCTTGGCCATTTGGAAGTGTGTGGCTTTCAACTCCCAGAATTCCCCAGCCAGCATATTGGGCTGCAGAATTCTGGATGTTAAAGTCCAAACACCTGGAAGTTGCCACGGTTGAGAAACACTCTTCCAGAGGAACAGTGGCAGAGGATGCTGAGAGTTGTAGCTCTCTAAATATTGATGAAATATAACTTCACCACCACGAGGCTAGAAGGAGGATGGATATCTCCCTGTTTGTTTTTGCTTCAGTGCACACACCCCTTCCTATTCCTAGTAAAAATTCATTTTTATGGATGACGGTATCCTGGCACTAGCCACGGCAGTGGTTTAAATGCAGGCATATTCTGTCCACAGCCTGGAGTTTGATCTTGATAGAGCTCAAGGTTGACTCATCCTTCCATCCTTTCGAGGTCAGTAAAATCAAGACCCAGTTTGTTGGGGACAATATGTAAATAATGCTTACACTCTGACTCACCCAGAGAGTGCTGTAAAGTGCTATGGAGCGGTCTACTAGTCTAAATATTATTGCTATTTTTGTTACCAGCTTCATGTGTTAGCATCTGATCATTAACTAGCTGACCATTTCTTAGTTTAGTTTAGTTTAGTTTAGTTTATTATTTATAGGCCGCCCTTTTCCCTGAGGGGACTCAGGGCGGCTTACAATTTATAGGGAGGGGAATACAAAACAATAAGACATAAACAATACATAAATTAAAATAGAACACAACATTCATTCATCATTCGGGTGGGGACGGATTACAATCTTTATCCCCAGGCCTGACGGGATAGCCAGATCTTGAGGGCTGTGCGAAAGGTCTGGATGGTGGTGAGGATACGAATCTCCACGGGGAGATCGTTCCAAAGGGTCAGAGCTACTACTGAAAAGGCTCTCCTCCGCATAGTTGCCAGTCGACACTGACTGGCGGATGGAACTCGGGGGAGGCCTTTTCACCGTTCTGACGGGAAATCATTGTGAGAACAAATTGAGATCATTTTTAGATAACACCTGATAAAATACAAGAAACTTGTGTGTTACAATTGTCAGGACTTATTTGTAATAATTCACTTGAGATCTGAATAAAATCAGCAATCTTGAATCTCTGAAGAGACTAAAAAAAAAAACAAATAGTTTTCCGTATGTCTTAAAGGAACAAAGTGAGTTTTAAGTACCGTTTTTAATCAGAAACGCACGATTTGGGTTATTTGTTGTGAGCTACCTGATCTATGTGAAAAGGGTGCAAATATTTTAGAATTAAAAGTAACCAGTTAAGACTCCAACTAAGGCTAAGTTATGGCTCTGGACCCCACAACCAAGCAAAGAAAAGTATTTAAAATCCCAAGCCATTGTTCATTTTTGCCAGAATCCTACCTGTTCAGCTTCCTTAGCTCGGTTCTTGGCAGCACTAGCTGTCTCTTCTGCTCGGGTCGCTTGCAAGATGTTGCTGGCCCGCTTCATTTTGAGAACGTCCACCTGCCGGTCAAGATGGCCCACCCGCTTCTTGGCTGCAGCCAACTCAACCTCAGCATTTGCAGTCTTCCTATTAATCTGGTGGAATAAGATAAGATAAGAGGGGGAACAGGAGAAAACAAGTGTGGAAGCATTGACATGTCCAGTGAGGGCTGCTTGCCAATCCTGGAGCTCCTTGGTGAACCAAGGAGCTCCAGGAGATGAAGTGACAGAAGTGATAACTAGATACAAGAATTGAACACAGCGAAACCTAGATACAAGCTGAAGTTGAAGCCTATGGTGACAAGGGAGATGAAGGATTTGTAAGGTAAAGGCAAATGTTCCTCTTGCACATGTGTGCTAGTTATTTCTGACTCTAGGGGGCGGTACTCATCTCCATTTCAAAGCTGAAGAACAAGCGCTGTCCGAAGACGTCTCCGTGGTCATGTGGCCGGCATGACTAAATGCCGAAGGTGCATGGAATGCTGTTACCTTCCCACCAAAGGTGGTCCCTATTTTTCTACTTGCATTTTTACGTGCTTTTGAACTGCTAGGTTGGCAGAAGCTGGGACAAGTAACGGGAGCTCACTCTGTTACACAGCGCTAGGAATTCGAACCGCCGACCTTTCTGATTGACAAGCTCAGTGTCTTAGCCACTGAGCCACCGCATCCCTCACTTCATTGTGTTGGTGTGTGCATTTGGCCATAGCCTTGTTTCTGGAGAGGGGAACAATTCCCTCTTGGGGAGAAATGAGCAGATAAATCTACTAATATTGGGTATAGGGAGGTGATCCTTCTTCTTGGACTTTAGGATTGATTTTTTTTAAGGGTCTTTCAATTTAATGATTTCATGTAAATGTTTAGAGATTCTAGACAGGAAGTTTTGATGGTTATTAGCAGGATGGAGTGTTTGGAACTTTCCAAAACAGTGTTTCTCTGTCCTTTTTTGTTATCCTTTTATAACCTTTTATATTAATGGTAATCCTTGTTTACCATTTTATCTTTTTATTGCACAGTTTTGATTTATTGTTAATTACTGAGTGTCCTTGGAGATTTTAGTGATATATAAATGTAAATAAAATGAGGATTGTTTTTTCAAATACTGGTAGTCTTCAACCTACCATCACAATTAAACCCAAAATTACCACAGCTGCTAAGCAAAACACTGTAGTCGTTAAGTGAATCATGCGGCTGTTAAGTGAACCTGGCTTCTCCCATCGATTTTGCTTGTCGGAAGCAAAGTCTGGAAAGGTTACAAATTTCCAACCATGGGACTTCAAAGGTTTTACGTCATAAACCATGAGTTAAAGCGAAGTATGGGAAACTAGTAACATGGTAGCTTGCGCATATACAGGTTAACCGAGCAGGAAAATTCACAAATCACTACATGTTAACTTGCCTTGCAGGAAATTTTTGGCACCTCGCCACTCATGAGCCACAACACCTAGGCAACACAGCTAGAAAGAACTACGCAAGCATATTTAGTGTTGCTTCATAGATTAAAGACAAATAAATATTAAATGACTGTCAGGATGTGCTCTCGGTTCCGGGAAAGTGGTTTGGAACCTTGATTGCCATGAAACTCTTTTTTTTTTTTAAGCTCCCAGAGCCACCAAGATTGCACTGCCAAAAATCTGATGGTAAAATGCTGAGCGACAAATTTGATGGTAAAGTGCTGAATAACGGCGGTGCAATTCCGTATCAATTTTCATTGGGATAAAAAAGAAAAGCTGACGTGTGAAGACTTGGACATGCCAAATCACAACATGGAAAAACTAAACGATGCCCTTCAGCATCATCATTAATTGTTCTGCCACTAATGGTTACGGTAGATGTTCGCTGTAGCCACAAAAGAAGTAATACTACCAGGCATACTTTATCTGACACATCTAATGCAACATATATCAGGACACGTTATTTTCTTTGGGCTGGTAAAAATAATTCATTACGGCGCCTTACCTCGTTAACAACTGTGTTGGTGTGTTGAATATCATTGTCTGCAGAGTTGATGGCTTTTTCGGCAGCATTTTGTGCCCGTTTCGCATCATCCAGAGCCCTTTTCACTGCTTCAGCTGTGTTTTTAACACTCTCTGCCCGAGCGCTGGGGAGGAAAAATTCAGTAAGACTGAACAGAAACCTACAACTCATTAGCAAATTTGATGCGACAAGCATCAACATCAAATGAGAGGTTGTAAAACTATTAGTGGCCATTATCACTAAATGAAATCTTCCCATTGCAGGTGCTTTGCACAGGTAGTCTTTGACTTGTAGTTGAGACTGGAGTGGAATTACAGTCACTACAAGTTGTTTGGAGGGTTTTTAGGACCTTTTTTTTTGTGGCAGTCACTAAATGAATTGCCACAGCTGTTAAGTGAATGCCAAGGTTATTATTAAGAGCCATGGTGGTTCGAATGCAGTACTGCAGGCTATTTCTGCAGACTGCCGGCAGTTCGAATCTCACCAGCTCAAAGTTGACTCAGCCTTCCATTGTTCCGAGGTGGGTAAAATGAGGACCCAGATTGTTGGGGGCCATAGGCTGACTCTGTAAACTGCTTAGAGAGGGCTGCAAAAGCACCATGAAGCAATATACAAGTCTAAGTGCTATTACTATTGCGTGAATGTGGCACTTGTAAAGGAATCTACATTGTCCAATGTGAGGGTTTGTTTTGCCATAAACATTGGTTTCCAGAAAGTGAGAAAAGTGAGGGAGGGAGTGAAGGGAAGGAAATGGAAGGGAGGGAGGGAGGAAGGAAGGAGGGAGGGAAAGAAGGAAGGAAGAGGAAATCACGTCCATGTGACCAAATGGACGTAAATGTGAGCTGGTTTTCCAAGCACTCACAACGTGATTACATGCATGTATGGTGGTTGCGGTTGAGGCCACCAGAACTTCAAATCTAAGTAGCCCTGAAGAGGTCCTTTGTAACTTTAAATGTTTGCTAAGAAACAAGTTGTAAATCAAGGATTACCTGTATCTCTAATCGTAAGACACAGGATATAAAGCAGAGAGTTAAGTTGCCTGCACTATGCTTGCTTGTGAATTTCCCAGACCGTTTAAATGAGACACTATAATTTTCTGTCAGATCAAGCAATAAGAGCTGAGGTGGCGCAGAGGTTAGAGTGAAGTACTGCAGGCTACTTCAGCTGACTGCTAGCTGCAGTTCAGCAGCTCAAATCCCACCAGGCTGACTCAGCCTTCCATCCTTCCGAGGTGGGTGAAATGAGGACCCAGATTGTTGGGGGCAATTATGCTGACTCTATAAACTGCTTAGAGAGGGCTGTACTATGAAGCAGTATATAAGTCTAAGTGCTATTCCTATTGCTATTGGAGCACACGTCAATTCAGTAGAAAGAAGAGACTCATGGAAAAGGCAGTTCCAATTTCCGATACGTAACATGTTCAGCTTCTATGCAAACATCTTCCAGAAATTGATCAGAATCCAGGTGAAAAGAGACTTAGCTCTGCTTTTCCTGAGCTCCCTCTACTCTCCCTAACATACTTACTTGGCCCGGCGTGCATCCTGCAGTAACTGCCCTGCGATGCGGACATCCCCTGCTGTTTGATCCAGGATGGCATCCACATTGGCCAGGCTGCTGACCCGCTCCTTGATCTCCTCGGCAAGGTGTTGGATCTGCACGGGGGATGCTGGGATGGAGAGCTCCAGCACACGGGAAGCCACCAGTGCAATGCTGTCAGGATCTGCCCCCTCGACTGTATGCAGGATGGATCCATTAGAGCTGTGGAAAAGTAAATGGCAGCCCCCTTCCTGGCTCTCCACAGGACTCCCTCTTAAAGGGGCCCCCACCTTAAGTCTGAGGTCTTCCATCCCGATGCGAATGTTCTCCCAAATTCCCCCAAAGTACCGTATTTTTCGGACTATAAAATGAATCTTTCTGTCTCCCAAAAGGAGGTGAAAATATCTGTGGGTCTTATAGACCAAATATTGCTGAAGCCCTGGCCACCCGCTGATCATTTTTTGGCCTCTGCACACCCTCTTTTCAAGTCTTTTTTGGACCCGTTTTGGGGGCTTTTTCTGGCCCGTTTTTGAGGCTTTTTCAGCCTGTTTTTGAGACTATTTTGGCCCATTTTGTTTTGCAAAAAATGCCCGAAAAAAACCCTCAAAAATAGCCCAGAAAAGCCTCAAAATGGCCCGAAAAAAGCCTAGAAAATGAATAGAAAAATGGCTGGAAAAGGGCTGCAAAAAGACCCCCCAAAAGGGCTGAAAATGCAGTGTGCGGAGGCCAAAAACTTTTTTTTTTGCTGTTTTCCTCTTCTAAATTTAGGTGCGCCTTATAGTCAGGTGCGTCTTATAATCTGGAAAATACGGTATATTACTCTAGACATATTCTCACTGAGATATTTTCCTTTTTAAATTTAGGAGACAGTTTGGGTGCTTTGCTGAGAAATGGGCAGCTCAATGACGTCTCACCGTTTGTTCTTTGGATGCTTTGCAAGGGTGTCAAGACAAGTGGCAGGCACACAGATGTTGCACCCATGTGCAAAAGAGGAAAGGCTTAGATCTCAATATGCCACTTGCATATTTTCACCATCACTGACTGCCCCCTCCCCCAATACTTTTGTTCTGTTTTCATAAGTTTTTTACTATTTTGAGCTGAGACCCCCAAAATTTGGAAATGGCCTGAACCTGCCCAGATCTTTGAGAAGATCTGATTGTGTTGCTGGATTCAGAGAGGGAGATGGTTGCTGTGGCACAACGAGGCAACTGATGATCTATGCACTTAGGTAAAGGTTCCCCCGCACATGAGTGCTAGTTGTTTCCGGCTCTAGGGGCTGGTGCTCATCTCCGTTTCTAAGCCGAAGAGCCAGAGCTGTCCGAAGACGTCTCCGTGGCCATGTGGCCGGCATGACTAAATGCCAAAGGCACACGGAACTCTGTTAGCTTCCCACCAAAGGTGGTTCCCTATTTTTCTACTTGCATTATTTAAGTGCTTTCAAACTGCTAGGTTGGCAGGAGCTGGGACAATTAACAGGAACTCACTCTGTTACGCAGTGCTAGGGATTCGAACAGCTGAACTGCTGATCTTCTGATCAACAAGCTCAGTGTTTTAGCCACTGAGCCACAGCATCCATTCTATGCATTTAGTTAACCATTATTGCAGTTGTAAACCAATGTATCTGGAGGGGCTGGGGAATGCTGCACAAGTGATTGGTTTTTACAAATTGGGAGAGATTCCGAAGGAAGTAAAAAGTTAATTCAGGCATATCTGGAGAAAAGCATGGAGGAATTTGGGACACATTCAGGAATAGTGACTTTTCTTTCTTTCTTTCTTTCTTTCTTTCTTTCTTTCTTTCTTTCTTTCTTTCTTTCTTTCTTTCTTTCT